AGAAATCTCTGGAATTGTTTTACAGCCAACCTGGCATGAACATATCCACATAACAAAGGGTGATTTGTAGGTGCACCAGGCTTGCCTATCTGTGGGTGCTTAAATCGTACATTTTGAGAGTTAGATGGGCTCAGTTAGTCCAAGTCTTCATTTTACGGGTAACTTTATCCTGTAGTTTCTTCACATGATTGCCCCAAGGTCATATACTAGTTAGTAGGAACCACGAGACTCAAACAAAACTAGAAAAGTGGGTGTCAGCATACAATGTCTGCAGGATTTTTTCTCTGGAATGTTCACACAGTGTGGCAACAGAGTCATGGGTCAGGCCAACAGGCCAACTCCATCCTTGATTGACTATAGACTACTGAAGAAGCCACTGGGAACCGGAACGTGCCTTGAATGAGACACCTTACTGACCAAGTGGAACATCTGTTGAACACCCATTCCATTAAGCTTGCTAAACATGAAGAATCTAGTAGCAAAACTTTGAATCTGAACGAACTAGAGCACAGAAGTCAGAAGACAGTAGGTCAAGCTCCCAAGTCTCCATCTACTAGTGATGTGACCTTGGGACAAATTTAAGCCTCAAAGTTCACATCTGTAAAATAGAAAAAAAAAAAAACGGCATTATGACTATCTTAAAAAGGTTTTGTGAGGATAAAACAAGATCAGCTGGACCAGGCATGTCTGTAATCCTAGCACTTTGGGAGGCGGAGGTGGGAGGATCACTTGAGCCCAAGAGTTCAAGACCAGTCTGGGCAACATAGTGAGACCTCAGTTCTACAAAAAATACAAAAATCAGCTGAGTGTGGTGGAGCACACCTGTAGTTTCAGCTACTCAGGAGGCTGAGGCAAAGGGAGGAGGAGGTGAAGTTGTAGTGAGTCCAGGAAGTTGAGGCTGTAGAGAGCCAGGATTGCACCACTACACTCCAGCCTGGGCAACAGAGTGAAACCCTGTCTCCAAAAAAAAAAAAAAAAAGATAAAAAAGATCAGATGTGTGACAGCAATGGAAAACTTCACAAGATATCTTGCATAATTTTTGTCTTTAGTCTTCTGTGATCTAGCATAGTCCCCTGGGAATTTTTAACAGCTTTACTGAGATAATTTACAACGAAAAATTCACCGTTTTCAAGTTTTTAGCCGATAATTAGGCAACTCTCCCAGTTTTCCTTAGTTCTCCTCTTTTCTGCCTGGTATACATTAATTCATACTCCAAAGCTCAGCTCAAAAATGGACTTCCCAAGACATTTTGTCTTAATCCTTATTCGAGCCTTTCTCATTAAGTTTTTATGTATCCAGCTTTCCCTCCCCCAACAATGAACTAAATGGAAAGTAATCATGAACATTTACACAGCACTTGACAGTGTACAGAAGCTTTTTTAGTGGGTTAGTTCTTTTGATCTTAGCATCCCACATTGTACCCAGAGCACCCACTTCATGCTTATGAAGTTATTTTGCGTTCCTCTTGTGACCTGAGGAAGAGACAGTTGCAAGATAAACAAAATCAAATCTTAACAAAACCTTAAACCTCTCAAATGCCCCAACGCTACAGTTGCAGCACACATAGTTTTGTTGCCAAAGCAAATATTCAAGAAACTAAGAGGCATAGTCCAGGTGAAGAAAAACCTGGTGACCGTAGATGACCATCGCTGTCACCTACACACCAACAGTAAATCCAATTCTGATGCTCCCTAGTCACCAAGTCCCTCCCCAAAATCCATTTTGAGATCTAAAGATTTTGTGATTAAAAAGAATCCCAAAGCCAAGTGAGGTGGCTCACGCCTATAATCTCAGCACTTTGGGAGGCTGAGGCTGGAGGATTGCTTGAGCCCAGGAGTTTGAGACCAGCCTGGGCAACATAGTGAGATCTTGTTTCTACAAAACAATACAAAAAATTTAACTGGGCATGGTAGCGTGCCTGTAGTCCCAGCTAATCGGTAGGCTGAGATGGAAGGACTGCTTGAACCTGGGAGGTCAAAGCTGCAGTGAGCCCTGATCATGGTACTGCACTTCACCCTGGGCAAGAGTGAGACTCTGACTCAAAAATAAATAAATAATTCCAAAGCTGGGTGTGATGGCTAATGCCTATAATCCCAGAACTTTAGGAGGTCACAGCAGGAGTACTGCTTGAGGCCAGGAGGTCAAGGCCAGCCAGGGCAAAATGGCAAGACCTTATCTCTGTTATATTGAAAAAAAAGTCCCAAGTGAAGAGTCCCAGTCATATATGGAGATAAAATATAATTCTTGCTTTTAAGAAGCCTGCAATCTGGTAAATTCAATTCAAAAATATTTCTCTATCTTTTTACAAGCACCCTGGCAAGTGGGGCCATAACTGTTAACACCACTTTACAAAGGAGGAAACTGAGGCTCTAGAGGACAACTGGCTTGCCCAAGATCTCTCTTGGGAAGAGAAGAGTCAAGACCCACACCCAAGACTTTTAACCAGGCAGCAAATACTGTTCCTGCAGTTTAAACAAAGATTGAGAACTTCAGAGGGAAGGCATTCTAGCTGGGGGAACTGGACAAGAATGTCATGGTCATAGCAGCATGTGAAATGGAGCCCTGGAAGGTGGGCGGGGTTTTGCCAGCAGTAGTTTAATTTGGCTGGAGAGCTGATGTCCTTCACAGGGCTGCAGGCCAAAGGGCAGAAAGGGGCGCCTGAGATCAGATTAGACATCTAATCCAGGCTTCTGCAGGAGGTAATGTGCCATGCTTAAGATACTGCATCACTTTCAGGAGTGGAGAGTGAATTAGGGCTACCAGAAAAGGGAGAGCACACTGTCTTCGCTGCCAGAGGGATTCTTTGTTCTGGGTAGCATAACAAACACTGAAGGAATACAGAGGCCTATTCAGTTAGTCCTTTTCTCTCTGCCCACTTGTTAAAATTAAAAACAAACAAACAAAAAAACTCCTCATTTTCCCCTTGATTACTTATGTGAGTAAAATATCTGATCACAGCATCAAAGAGTGGGGGACATGGGGAAAAATTACCCACAGTCATTCCACTTCAGATGGTTGTTCTTAATCATTCCTAGGTCAAAAGAGTTAACCCAATCCCAATCTCCTCAGGAAAAGCCATTTAAATACATAACTCCTACCCAGGCCTCGCTATGTCCCAAGTCCCTCAAGATAAAACTTAAAAAAATTACAGCCAGGAGACACTCACACTATGTCTCAAAACCACACACATTTATTTAGTTGACTACAGGGTTTAAAAACCAGGCATTAGAGTAATGTTACTTCATCATCTGTAAATGTTAAAAATTAAGAAAAGCAAAAATTCTCCCCTAATTTATTCCAGATGTTACAAAGCACAGTTAGTCTGCAATTCCATGACAACTTTATTAGTGCTCAGATTGAAGCCAGGTGAGCTGCTATCATTGGTATGAACTCTAAAAGCCGACACTCTCTCCCCCACCCAGTTTGGCTTTCGACGCTGCCCCATCTGTACAGGTGCACTGAAAGTCACTAGAAACGAAGGGGTTAATTTCCAAAGTAACAACAGGATTGTTTTCAGTTAAGATTTAGACTTTGATAAGGCTTCCAGGCATTTTTGAAAGAGACTCTCCACCAACTTCTGACCCATCCCAAATGTCCTAGGAAGAGAGGCACTCCTGGCCATCAGCCTTGGATAGTACTTTGAGGTAAAAGCATTTCAGAGATAAGTCAGAGCTTCTTAATAATGTGAAGTCTGCCTATTAGGTCCTGATCTAAAACTCCAGGAAACTAAGCAACTGTATGTTCTCTAAGGCACATACTTGCTACTATTTCTTAAGTTTTCTTGACATTGCTACAGTGATGAGGTTTCTCAAAATACCCTGTTACTAAATAACCCTGATAACTCTATAAGGTATTATTTATCTTCAGGAGAAACTGAGGCTGAGAGTAATGTGTCCAGAGCCACAGGGCTACTACTGAGGGGTCTACTAACTAATGCCATCTCAAAATGCCTTCCTAAAGTTGGCTTTCTTCTAGTTCATCCCAATAACAGATGTGTGTTCTTCCACAAGCCCACACAGCTGGGGATAACTAACACTAACACACACACACACACGCACACACGCACACACGCACACACGGAAGTCACCGTTCTTCTCCTGGTTCTTGAGCCATTATTGGGCCAGCGTCACCTATTACCATCTGAGAACTACACAGAAGTCAAAAGAGAATTTTTTTCTCAACCAGGAAACCCCTTAATCTGCTTGCCCTCTGAGTTACTACTTCTTTGAAACTGACACACCTATTTGAGGGGAGTTAGTGGGCTTAGGGCACAGAATTCCCAGAGGCTCACTCTTTCATCCTGATTTGCTTTCATTAGGCCACATCCTAGACACACAGTCAGGTGCTCTTGCTCAAAGCTATTAAACTAAGGAGAGGCACCCCCAAGAGAATTAGGACACTGAGTTCCAGGCCCCATCCTGTCGCTGGCTAATTGTGACAAGGAGAAATTTAACTACCTCCGTGTGGGTCTCAGTGTCCTGAGACGCAAACAGCAGTTGATGACAGGTATCCTGCACACTTTAGAAGACCAAGATGACTCACGTAAAGTACTTGGTGAGTTTTGTTTCCCGTCTGTACCTCCGCTTCCACCTCCATCCTCAGGCAATAAGAAGGGGACACAGAGTGGATGGATCCCACAAATTTAAGAGAGTTGGTGTGCATGTAGCAGAATCTTTTTAAGGAGGTTAAATAATGCCTTTATCCTTCTCTACCCACCTTCCTCTTTCCTTCTGATCCCGCATCCTAAATCGAGAAATTGGGTGACCACAGCTGAAATGAGCTCAAAACAGGGCAAACAAGCAGCCCCCAGTTGCCAGCCTCTTCCAGACCTCGGGGAAGAGCGCGCGGCTGAACACAGAAGCCGGAGAGGCGTGGGACTCTCGGGGGTCTCCCCGCTAGAGCAGCTTCCCCGGGACCTCAGGGGACCGGCCCGCCGCCCCCTCCCCGGCTCTCCCCGCCACGTCCTCCACCGCCCGTCCGCGTCGCCGAAGCCGCTCACCTGCGCCGGCCAGAGCAGCAGCAGGAGGAGGCCGAGGGCCGGGCCCCGTGCGCTCATGCTGCCGCGCAAGGCTGATAACGTCTGGAGGGATTCGGCTCGTCCGGCTC